CATATTTGTTTTCGCCATAATCAGCGTCAATTTTCGAATGATTTGGAACTGACAAGTTAACATCAGTTTTTCGAAGTTCTTCAGATGGTAGATAGTCTTTTCAACTGCGTTTGAGACTTCGCGTCAACGATATAGATGTTGGGAATGGGCTGCAAAAGAGTAGCAAAAGCAATCAAACTTGTGAACAAGAGCCAAGGCGTCTTATGAGACTTTATTATGCACCACTGCGCTATGCGTCAACCTGCGGTGGAAGGTGGGCGACTCGCATTTATGGCTAAGGGCATACCTCACGCGATTTCAGTCGCCACGCGACCTGGCAATTTGCCAGATACCTTTAAATTTAATACTGGCAGACCCCAAATGCACAGCATATTTAGTTTTGGTAAGTTGATAAAATGCCCTAGGTTTCGTGCATTCAGAAACCATTTACGATGAGTTATGCACAATTGGAGTATTGCCAAATCGCGGCGCGACTGAAATCGCGCGAGGTATGCCCTTAGCCTATGAGCCAGCACCAAGGTGGAATAGGGCCACAACTTTGTGTAGGAGACTGATAAGCAGATACCGAAGGCAGATATGTAGTCAGCCTTCCATGCAGTTTTCAGCATGTTTTCGTTTGTTTGTCCTCTGTATTGTATGTATGTGTATCTGTCACAAAACTCGTAACATAGGTAGCAGCCAAAGCCACATTCTGCATAACTTGCATAAGTAGCAAGTACATACTGTTGACAAGTATCGCGTTTTCACTATGGCCAATGTCTTTTAATCGACTTTTTCCACTCTTTGACTCCTCAATATGACCCCCGTGCCACACCTAAAGCTTGACCCTGCCTATAACTCTCGAACATAGGGTACGAAAACGTCACTCTATGCTTTTTTGAGTGACTGGACTTGTTCACTTCGCTTGCCAGCATAAAGTTTGCAAATAGCAATAAAAGCGCAATGGTATCTTAGAAAATCCTGTTACTCTGGCGTCAACATGTTCACTTCCCCACTTTACCAACTCCTCCGACTCACAGTATCTCACCTTCCAATCTTTGGAAAAATCAAGGTTGTTCAAAGCGATTGGTGATTTGGTGGTAGTCTTTTTCATAGAGTAGGCGAAACATTTCACGTGGAGCAGAGCGTCCGCACCGCCAGGGGTCAGCGAGATAGAGAAGAACGAAGAGACGCAGAATGCAACACGGCGTGAATTGTTGCGAAGCGGCGCCCGTCAATCCAATTTCGCCTAAACTAATCTGTAACTTACCATAGATCGAACACTAGCCTTGTTGACAAATCTGTACTATCACACCCACCGCAATCAATCACCCTATTTGGCAAGTCAACATAAAAGTGCATTCCTTTTCATTTTTATTAGAGAATGATACCGTATTCGCAGTCAGCATGTTGCATATTGGACCGAATCGAAAAATTATTCGATCATTTCAATAGACTATTTGAATGCAAATCAATTTAAAGTTAGAAATTTCAACCATCATTCGAAAGTCGAAAATTCGGTTGACATTGACTCGATAGTTGCAGATTAGTCGATTATCAGAAGTGAACATCGAATAGTTCGATTATTCCCAATTCTTCCCCTAATTTTCTATTCTGGTACTCCGTTTGTCTTTCAGCAGAGAATCCATGTTTTATAGTTAATCTGGAGGGTTTTGATTTGATTTCCTTTTTACATACCAATTTTTCTATGTTTGAGACTGGCTAGTACTATGATTGATCGAACTTGCTTTTTTCTTTTTGCAAAAGTGCGCCGTGAGTGTAATTATAATCAAAAATAAAACTCTGAAATCTGGTAACATCGAATTTGATACTTTCAATTTTTGAATATTATAAGATAGTCGAACTAATGAACCCAATAAATGTGCTAGATTAGCGGGCGCGCGCTTCGAGACCAGCCGCGGTTTCCCGCTATCTGATGTTTTTTGAATTAGCGCTACGATTCTTTATATATTAGATATTTGGGAAAAACCGAATTTCTCAGTATAACATATAGGCCTGTAGTAAACCCGCATTCATCTCAGTTGACCTGAGATGTGTCATTCAGAAGAATTTTCTGAGGTGAACCTGATCCTGCCCATTTTCCCGCGCTTTCGATAGTCAGTCGAACAGTCAGAAGACTTTCATCTTCAGCCATGACATAGTGGACCAGTCAGAAGACTGTCCGGTCAAGTGTCACAGTCAGTTTAACAGAATGCCACTTAGCCGAGGGTGAGTTTTAGGGTGATTCGAGGCAGATAGTGTGCAAAAGAGGAGAATCAGACAAATTTCCCGTAACTTGCTCGTGCGTAACTTACGAGACAATCTAGCTGACGTACTGCTGCGGTGCAAATCTCCCAAAATTGCACGGTTACGGCAGCCTTAATAGGAGAGGATCAATGAACAGCTGATTGCGGCGAGAAAAGCAAGAAGCAAGACTTCTTATTTTTAGATCTTGCTTACGTTTATTTCAAAAACTTCTTAAAACAAGGATTTCTTGATTTGTTTCATTTGCTTTTTGTTCCAACATTTTCTTTTTTTTGATTTCGTCAAATTATATCGTTTTATCCGTTCATTTGCTTGGCGATATCCTCGGTAGCGGTTCGTCAAATTATATCGTTTTATCCGTTCATTTGCTTGGCGATATCCTCGGTAGCGGTCGCCATCGGTTTTTCGCGATAGCGGCCACTATCAAAGATTTTGTCCTGCATTGGCGCATTTGCCACTAGCCGGCTTCGAACCATGCTCTTTCGCGTTGAAACCCATTCCCTAGCCTTTGGACCAAGCCTACTCAAGGGGTTTAATTTTGACAAAACAAGATGTCTAGGTCTCTAGAAACCGATCCACATCCAGATTAATAACTCACCGGATGCCGGATTGAGGCGCCCTACGTTTAAGTAGGCCCGGCCCCAGCAGAGTTGCGCTGAACAGGCGTTTACTATGGAACATAGTTTTCTTTACTCCTCTTACCATTGCTGAGTCCGATCCATCTGCTTTTAGCCGGTATTGATTGATATTAGATAGTAGCGACATTTTCCTTTCGCAGCATATGTGTGCAAAATCTAGTCTGGATTGGTTGAACTTACGCACACATATGCCGTTTCAAAACGGCTTCAGGAGCACCCAGCTCTGTGTAACACGGACCACATGTACAGCAAGAGCGTAATTTCTAATCTCTTGAAAACCATCGGTTTGTTAGGGCTAACTCTTTTCAGCTTAACGCTTCGGCCGCCATCTCTTTCCCAAAGACATGAAAGGAAGCTCACATCTTATTTTGAGTCTTGCAGTAACAAACTGCATTCGCTTCGTTCAATTTTTCAAAGTAAAATTTGAGTGATTTTAGAATAAAGGGCCGGGCATACTTCACGCGATTTCAGTAGTGACGCGACTTGGCAATTCGCCAGAAGTCTTCAGATCCAGCACTAGCAAACTGCACATACATAGTGTGTATAACTTACGTGGCTTAATAGAATCCCCTATCTTCCGAACATTTAAAAGGTGTTTACAGTGAGTTATGAACAGTTGGAATGTTGCCAAATCGCGTCGCGACTGAAATCGCGTGAAGTATGCCCGGCCCTTAACTCACCAGTCTCACCAAGATCGCGCAACACAAACGAGAGGTACTCAGTTGATAGATGACAGATGACTGAGCTGTCCCACCGAGAAGCAACTTATTTGGCGTGGGGTATCTTATACTGACAGTATGGTATGAACGGCAGGAGATCGCTTATGATTGAGAACTGTTCATTTTTAGCCTTCGTCTTCGGTTCCCGTGACGGGATGAATGATGCTTCTGGCGCTTATAAAGCGCAATTTTACTTTAGCAGACTAAGGCTGTGCACCTAATACTAAAGTCCGTGCCACCGTGAAGTGCTATATGTTGAAGCCTCGTCATGCTTCATTTTTTTGCTAGCTAAGGTTCGTTCGCACGGATGCTAAGCGGTCGGTTTGTTTCTCCGACGTACGTTACGTGGCATTCCAGACATTATTTCGTACGGTCCCAACATTATTAAAATTCCCCTTCTTTCCACTAGGGCATCTAACGCAATTTAGTGTCATACTAATGGTGTCGCAAAATAGTTGAACTTCTCCCGCATTACTCTTCCTTTCTTCCTCCGTTGAGAATTTGATTTTCTTTGGTATGCATGCGTCAACTGTGGTGCTGTTATCGACACTTCACAGAGAGAGGCATCCGAGCAACGAAGTAATACATGCTTTTCTTTCGAAACTGTATCGCTTTATATGACTACGCTAATTGAGCTGCACTAGTAGCAGCACTCGATTGTTACTAATTCATCATCACGTAACTTGCTAGCGACATAAGAGAACGGAGTCTGAATAGTGCTGGTCGAGCTGAATGAAAAAATGAGAAATCTTAGTCAGGCATGTTTGTATCATAAATCAAAAGGGAAGTCTAGACGTAGTCTAAACACGAGAAGGACATCAAGCAAAGAACAATAAACAAGATGCCGATTCATAGTCAATCCAACCCATTCATCAAACCAGCAGCGTTTCGTTCTTGAGCTCTCCGCCGTCTGGAGCGCACATCTGCGCCGCATCATCTCGTCGGCTTTCACGGCCGATGACTTACATCAAGCTGTATATATATATGAGATATTTCACGTGCAATACAAGGTTTTGATTTGAGAACTAACATAAGCTCGTAAAGTCACATACCTACCTTGACTGAGTGTTTTTTGAAAGTCTCATCCTTCAGGTCAAGATTCGTCTTGTATGCAGTATCGCTTGGCTTTTGTTTTGCTGTAGATTTATGTGTTCCTTGCCATCCAGATCCATGGCCTAATAGAATGGATTGTAAGCGCAGAGGCTGCATCTGGAACAGTAATGGTGGCAGCGATGTAAGAGAATACTCATGCGTATAATACTTTGAAACAAGCAAATTTTATCCGTAAGATACCCATTTTTATGACTTGCAAAGGAAACACCTCACTAGGCACAAAAGTTTTGTTCATAAAACATATTACGCATCCTAGAAATACACGGCATGCTGTTTCAATAACAAGATGGGTTACAGAAAAGTCTCAGAAGATAGGGAAGTAAGTTCTACTACTCTGTTGCTACTTTCAGGCAGTGGCGGACCGAGGGGGGGGGGGGGCAGGAGGGGGGGCATGGGTTACATGGGTTATAAAAATGTGCAAATGACTTGTTTATTATTGTAAATTTGAAATGATGCTTTAAATTTTTTAAAAATTCCAATTGTTCTTGTAAAAAATTGCACGCCCCCTTTTTCTAGATTTTCAGGGCTATGAATCCGCAAAAATTTTGAGATACACCCCAGAAATTTTTTCGGAGTGCGTGGCTTAAAAATTTTTTGCACCCCTCCCCCCCCCCCCGGACCGAAATCCTGGGACCGCCACTGCTTCCAGGGGATATCATAAGTCTGATTTGCAGACTGTAACCTTGGAAAAGAATGATGGGCCTGCAAATCCGTGGGGTGCGGATATACCGCACATCTATTTTGCTTCAAGGACACTAAAGAAAGTACTCAATGTAAAAATCTACTCTCCTCAAAGGTGGGTGTTTGTTTTTATTTAAACGATTTCGTCATACATGCTAACAATATGGAATGCCCATACTTCCTCACTTATTTGCTCTATTCTAGGAAATACATTCAAAGTGTTCCATGTAAATTAAAAAAACAGTTATCAAGCGTAGACCGAAACATGTACCTTATTCTCTGACCAATAAACACAAGAGTGCTCTGCATGTGGTAGGTGACGTCATCTGTCTAGTCACCGCCCTGTGCAAATGCATAAAAATTTGATTTTTTTGGATGAGCGCGTGAAGCCCTCTGAGGCCTATCTGCACACAAGGGTACAATGCCTAATTCGGCGCCGCGAAGCTTTTTTCGTATTTCCGAAGTTTTTTTGCAAGTAGCCTATCTGGTCGTTATATTTAATCGAAACAACAAACAAAATCATCACAATTTTCCTGGAGTTAACCTTCTCGCTTTTTGTCCTGCGACCATGTAGAATAATCCTTGTAAAGTGCATCTCGGGTAGGTATGTTAGATTTGCAAATGAATGACTAGGGCGTGAACTGTGTCGTCCTTCCGGTCTGTGGTATTCTTGGAGGTTAGGTAAGTTTTGAGTACTTCCATCCTTCCGCAGTGGTTCCGATCACCGCCTCCTTCAGGCGAAGATACGATTCAGTCAAAAGCGAAAATAAAGCCTGTCACAGTCCAAGAAGGAAGGAAGTTGTTTATGATGGTGACAGGCTGGAAGACTTATATCAAGTTGTGACTGCATCGAGGAGGACCCAACGTACGTTTACGAACGGCTTCTGAAAGGATTGCGCTGCAGGGAGTGCGCCTCAGTGACTTTCGAGAAGAACCTGAAACGCAATCTGAAGATTACCAAGGAATTACTCGAAAGAAGAAGAACTTTGAGGCAAAGTCCAAATGCAACCCATCTTTAGCGACTGATAGCTAACGCCAATTACAGAACTGCTTCGCAGGAGGCAAGAAGTGCCAAGGGGACCTCTGCGAATATCACGTGCTGTTGGCCGCATTACCGAACGAAGACGTGCGCGACTTCTTCCTGATATGAGATGGAATCTATCGCCAACCAGTCTCTTCCGTTCATCAGTACCGGTGCCGATGCCAGCTGTTCCCACTGGAGGAGTACCACCAAGCATTCTACCTGCTAAAGTGTGTACCGCTATTCAGGCTATGAAGACGTCCGCTGCTTCAGGACCAGACCATTTTCCCGTCTAATTTGTGCGGGCTGGAAGACATCGTCTACATGGAATTTCTTGCTTTGCATCTAACATCTTACTTACAGAAGGAAAAGGCTTCCTACCAGTGGAGAACTTCAAGAACCGTCTTTCTCCTCAAAAAGGGTAACGGGAGGATTTGAACTACCGTCCAACATGCCTACTGAGTGTGCTGTACAAGCTTTTCACGAAGATGATCCTCGCTCGCATGTCTAGGAAATTGGATGAAGCCCAACCCAAGAACAAGCTGAATTTCGCAAAGGATTAAGCTGTATAAGACACATCCAGACGGTTAGAAAGGCTACAGAAGTCTTCCGGGAGTACCGATTCCCTTTCGTATTAACCTTCGTTGACTACGAGAAAGCCTTCGACAGCGTCGAAACCATTGTCATCCTGTCAGCGCTAGTCGATCAACGAGTGGACGCAGCTTACGTGAGGACATTAGCCGACTCCTACAGGGATTGTACAACAACGATGCAGCTAATCCACCGCTCCATGACCATCCCAATTGGGAAGGGGGTCCGACGAGGCGACACAATCTTGCCGAAGCTGTTTACCCGACCTTGTATTGGGTGACGAAGTCACTGAACTGGGACGAGAGAGGCATGCAAGTTGATGGGAAAATCCTGTTTAACCTTCGTTTTAGGGACGACATCGTTCTCTTTTCGAGCAGTATCACCGAAGCAGAGACGATGCTGAAAGAACTAAACGAAGTAGGGAAGAAGATAGGACTGCGAATAAATCGGAGGAAGACCAGTTCATGAAAAACGCCCTTTGCGAAGATGCAGAAATGGAATTCGGGGGCACCCCTATCATGAAAACGTCTTTTTAGACGTACACGGACGTTCAGTGAACATGGAGAACGACTTGAGAGAAGAACTTAACAGGAGAAGAAGGGCAGCCTGGGCCGCCTTCGGGCCTCTGAAGGAAGCCACTGACCAACTGACGCACCCGGAGCTTCGTGCCCATTTGTTCGACTCAACTTCCTTCGGAACAAGTATATTCTGAAGAAAACAGCGCCTTGCTCAGCTCATCGAGGCGAATTTTCTCATGTACAGCATGTCCTTGATATTTCGATTTCAGTATTCTTGAATCTTTCTGAGGACGTCTTTTCGCGAAGGTGTAAAGCAGCGAGCATTGTCCCGAGTACATCCCAGCAAGATCTTTTTCTGTAGATTATAATGTGCTAAATAGTAGCCGCAGGTTTCATTTCAAAGGAAATAAAACGGCTGGTGAACTGTGGAAAAATCTTCTCGTCCCATTCCACTCGCCATATCCGCAGGATACGAAGCTATCTTGCTAAGCAGATGTGAGTTTCGAAATCAGCAGGTCGCATAACCTCTACGAGCAAGTTTTCCAATATGTTCGGGTTATTCCATTTTTTTTTCGTTTTACGCTCCGGAAGCTCGCCGATGGATTTTGGTCAAAATGTTGATGCTCTTGAGTTGTAAGGAAACTTCGCTTATAGAGGTTTTCGAACACGCTCTTTACGAAAATCGTGGTCTTTGAGGATTACAGGGTCTTTTTGGAGAGATACGGTGAGGTGACTGTAACTGCATCACGAAAGTGCGTAACTTTGCCCGCACTTCTCGCGTATCTATCAGAAACCTTGCGTGCTTGCTTTTCTCAGTCAAAGTTAGTAGGAATTGTGCTATCGAATGGTGCATGACTCAGGCTCCAGTCTATCAAATTCGCCGAGTTACGAGTCTACGAATATACGTTCTCATGTATTTTGCCCAAAATGCAAAGATCGCATATTTCGTCGAAATTCCTCCGTGAGCGCTTGTACAACGCGCTGATCAAATCTGTAACGGTGCGTATGATGCCATAGCATCTCTCATTCATTCATTTATTTCTCCATGTGGTCATATCTCCAGATGGTTATGTTCTTCATTGTTACTTGTCATCGTTATAATGAATTAATTGAAGTTACAGCGTTGTAGTCCAAGCATAACAAGAAGCTACACATACAAGATTTTCAGCCGGCAGCCACAAAGCCACCGCGAAAACCCACCAAAAGCTCCGTGCCTTATCGCCTCACTGCCGCTTCCCGCTGAGAACTGTAGAAGCGAGCGGGCTACAAATATGGCACTGAGCGGGAGGCTAAAGCTGGCAGCGGGCGGACTGCTATGAGGGCTTCAGCGGGAAGCGAAAGTGGCAGCGATAAGGCCACGGCGCCTTTGGTGGGTTTTCGCGGTGGCTTTGAGGCTGCCGGCGGAGAGAATGTGATTGTCTGAGTGAAGCAGACGCAAGCACCAAATTCAGTACAGTGGGAGTCGTTCGACAAAGCGAACATAATATCTGCAACGAGCGTCATACAAGCGCTCACGGAGGAATTTCGACGAAATATGCGATCTTTGCATTTTGGGCAAAATTCATGAGAACGTGTATTCGTAGGCTCGTAACTCGGCGAATTTCACAGACTGGAGCCTGAGTCATGCACCATTCGATAGCACAATTCCTACTAACTTTGACTGAGAAAAGCAAGCACGCAAGGTTTCTGATAGATACGCGAGAAGTGCGGGCAAAGTTACGCACTTTCGCGATGCAGTTACAGTCGCCTCACCGTATCTCTCCAAAAAGACCCTGTAATCCTCAAAGACCACGATTTTCGTAAAGAGCGTGTTCGAAAACCTCTATAAGCGAAGTTTCCTTAGAACTCAAGAGCATCAACATTTTGACCAAAATCCATCGGCGAGCTTCCGGAGCGTAAAACGAAAAAAAATGGAATAACCCGAACATATTGGAAAACTTGCTCGTAGAGGTTATGCGACCTGCTGATTTCGAAACTCACTTCTGTTCAGCAAGATAGCTTCGTATCCTGCGGATATGGCGAGTAGAATGGGACGACAAGATTTTTCCACAGTTCACCAGCCGTTCTATTTCCTTTGAAAAGAAACCTGCGGCTACTATTTAGCACATTATAATATACAGAAAAAGATCTTGCTGGGATGTACTCGGGACAATGCTCGCTGCTTTACACCTTCGCGAAAAGACCTCCTCAGAAAGATTCAAGAGTACTGAAATCGAAATATCAAGGACATGCTGTACATGAGAAAATTCGCTTCGATGAGCTGAGCAAGGCGCTGTTTTCGGATTCAAAATATACTTGTTCCGGAGGAAGTTATGGCGAGTAGAATTTAAAAACGCGTGATTTTTCCAAAATTCACCAACGCTTCTATCTCTTCTATGTTGGGTAGGCGTTGCTTCACATATTCGCGAAAGGACCTCCGCAGGACAAATTGAAAAAAACTCTTCCAATATATCAGAAGATTCTCCGCGCCGAGCTGAATCGAATGGTGGTTTTGTATTCAGAATTCGTCAACTCTGAAGCGAGGTATGGCCACGCGACGCTGATGTATGGACATGTCCATACATGTATGGGCATGTCCATACGTCAGCGTCGCGAATGTTGTTGTCCTTGTACGAACAACAACATTCGCGTCTATTTTTTCAAAAAATGTGAGCGGTATTGTATAGCAAATTTTAAGCGGTCCTAAGAACCAAAACTTGAGATTTTTGAGCTTAAAATTTTGTGACTCGCTGGAAACGCAACGAAATAGCCTAATTACACAGGATAGAAAGGGTGGGATGGCTTCGTAATACAGTAGAATTACGTTTTACAAGTTTCCATAGCTCCAAAATTTAGATGCAACCCAGATCCGACATTTTCCGAAAATTACCGCTCGGAATAGGCCGAGAATTTAAAGTTATGCTCACTAAGGCATATGTTAATTTGTGAGAAAAGAGCATTGCTTTGAAAAAAAACGCGAAAATTTCGCTTTCTTGGTCTCTAACTAAAGAAAAAATATAGCGACTGGGCATATGGATTTCTGATATCAAAAGTACACATATGCAAGTGGGAGGTTTCAAGAAGTTTGGACGATGATCAGTACTCCAAACTCCTTAGATCTTGAGTTTAAACTTTCCTTGGATTAAACTTGGCGCGAAATCATGCCATTTTGTAGAGCTTGCTTTGGTCTACGAACAGGACCCCTAGACCTTTCTTTGTTTGAGCCGGTTGTTTTGCTGAAACAAGCAAATGAAAAACGACACTATCTTTTAAAGGCAGTGTCCACGCAGATTTGGAGCTCCTCAGTTCCAACATTTTATTGAAGCGGACTCCTCATACAGACCATAGTCCAGTTTCGAGTGCAAAATATTGCTTGTGAAGCGAGTAAACCGCTTCAGAAGTCTGAACAGAGACGCCCCCTTGTCCGTACCGAAGCAAGTAATCGTGCCGGGACTCGTGGTTGCAGCCAATGACAGCGTCGCAACGGCGGCGTCCCAGTCGGATTCCCTGCTTCGGTACAAATAAAGGGGCGTATCTGTTCAGACTTGTGAAGTGGTTTACTCGCTTCACAAGCAATATTTTGCACTCGAAACCGGGCTATGGTCTGCATGAGGAGCCCGCTTCAATAAAATGTTGGAACTGAGGAGCTCCAAATCTGCGTGGACACTGCCTTTAAACAGCCTAATACATACTTCCTTTCGTGCTTCAGAAGTAGTTTTCTCCCTGCAAAAATATGGTGTCAGACGGGGATTGAACGCAAGACATTAATTATAGTCTAAAGCGTTTTTATTTCCAGAATCATAATGAACGACTTTCGGTACATTCATTATAACACTGAGTTATTCAAGCAGTCATGATTTGCAGAAGAATTTCTTTGTCATTAGAAAACAGATTATTATACAATAATTAATTATAGACTGGAGTGAATTGCCCTGCAATCCTAAATTTTCTTACTTGCTATTTTACTACATTTCTTTACAGTTTAATTGTCGGTATCAGACTCGAAGTGATCTCACCCTTTGTCAATTTATGTCCTTTCCATCCATCTTTTTGAGACCACGATACAGCACAGCCAAATCTTTTTAGAAATTTTCTACTTACTTGATTTATTCAAAATTATTTTGGGAGATTATTAAGCATTATTATTTGCATTCTCGCAATTATCGAGTACTTCCATCGATTTTATGATTGTTTGCAAACATTGAGCTACGGGGCTAGGAGTCGTATACCGTCTAGGTGAGCGTACGGAACCACGGCATGACAATTATCATAGTGTACTGACAGGGATAGGCGGAGCCTCGTGTGCCAGCTGATGATGTGTTAATTTTGTGTACAATCGCAAACCTTTCCCTTCTTCTTGGTTGAAAAACTGTATGAGGCGTTCTTTGCCAGTTCTAACAGCGGTAAGCTAAAAACGAAGTGGACGAGGAGCCTAAAATAATCAACTCCTGGTTATCATTACAGTATATGGCATTCTAAGTTTTACGCTTTGATCTTGAATGCAAGTTTTGGGAATGGATAACACAACTTGTGTTTTTTCGAAAATAAGCAATTCTCCTTGTTCGACTCTCAGAAAATGTTTGAATGGATGACGCAACTTGCGTTTTTTCAAAAGAAGCGATTCTCCTTGTTTGACTATCAGAAAATGTTTGAATTCCTATTATAAAAAGCGGCTTTCATTCCAAGAATTTCAGATACGACCCGCCGAGCGATTTATTTCCTAATTTGATGCAACCATGGAAGGAAGATTTGCAACCGATGGTCGAAAACAGCCTCGTGGTCCGTAATTCGTTTGCAAGACAAATTTGACCTTTTGCTTTTAGCGCTACAGCAGCCATGTTACACCAAATATACAACAGTGTCAAGCGGTTTCAAGCAAATTTTATCAACAGAGTGCAAGGAAAGGGATAGCGGGAGAGAGTAAAGAGAAATCCGAGTGCAGCTTTGTCTTCGCTTGTAAAATAGCTAAAGCTTCAATCTTCGAGAACAAATTCAGCAGTAACCTATCTATGTGGGAGTGAAAGTATGTCAATGCCAACCGCAATACCCTTGCCTACTCCAGGTTTTTTTACGTTGATACCTCGAGTGCATTGCGAAAATTTCACTTGGGTATATTTCTTGAAACTACATTTTGGCAACTTGCGCTCTTGGGGCGTAAAAACTCATTACACTAAATATTGTAGTATTGTTATTGAAGGAAGAAGCAAGAAGCACGCTTTCGAATCGTGCAAAAAAAATTGGCATTAATTGCATAACTCTTAGGGCCGCATGCATTAACACAATCATGATAGTACGATCCACAGGTGGGTCGCATGCTTTCTAAAGATTTCGATTTTGCTAATTTAACTTCCTGAGCAAATTGAATAAACTCCTGCTTAACCTCGTGGAATATTAGAGATTAACAATTCAGACCATAGGACCCGTCTGTGACCACAAGATTTTACGCAAACACAATTATGCGAAACGGTCCAAAATGTCATCGAAAAATCGGCCTTGTCATGAAGATGTCAACATCCCTCGAGAAAGGATTGCAGGTTGAAAGAGAGCTTCATTACTATAGCTCCTGATCTCTGATCACACCGCCTAGTTATCCGCAGGTATCCATAACTGCCTGGCGTTATACTACAAAGCCCTCGCCGCCATAGTCGGCACGCGCGTCGAGCTTGCCTACGGTATTCCGCACCTATTCTGTACCGGTGCGCTTGAATCATGAGTAGTCGTGAATCAATCCTGCGAACGCAGCTTAGTCCAGCCTCTTCGCGTCGGCGACGTTGCGATTTTTGAAAGCTACGTAAAACACTCAGAAGGAAAGGCCTGGTCTTCCCACTGTGAATATATTGAACACGAGCGAGAGACCGTACAAGCCGCATTTTCCAGCTTTTTGTATTTCCTGATGATCCCAGCGCCCTACCGTCTTTTCTTCAAATTTTGTTTTTCTTTCTTCGAAGTCAACGAAAACATTCCAAACAAACAACAAACTTTTGATTTGTGCTGATTACTCATCTCTTCGATGCTAAGCATGTTGCTGATGAGAACAAATAACTTATCGAAAAATCGATATTTTCGATGAACTCCAACTTTCGACTTGTGGTTCATCGCGATTCTTACGACTTCGATATACCATTTGTTCATATCAGAAGCATGCTCAGCATTGCCTGATTAGATAATCAGTGAAACTTTGGCACGTTTTAATTGACTTTGTAGAAAAGAAAACTGGCCGCCAGGGAACATCAGGAGATCATACAGAAAGCTGAAAAATGTGGATTGTACACCTTCTCGCTCCTGTTCTGTATGTTTACAGTGAAGGACAGTAGGTATAGTTACGGATAGGACAATGTAAAATCCAGATATAGACCCCGTAAAAACCAATTGCCCACGCGTCGCTTTGAACACCAAGGCGCGGCGCGGTTGGGAACGTTTGGTCCCGAAGCGCTACAGGCTTTTTGCGAGCGACAATGAGCGCGCGCCCTTTCCACACATGTTTTTTAAACTTGTGAAGGAAGCTTTCGTCAAGATATACCTTACATTGACGAGAACATGAAAGCTAAAGAAAGATTTCCTGGAATATAGTGAACGCCGACAATTGTTCGCGACGACCGCTCGCTTACGCTGGTGTTCAAGGCATGGTGCGGGCAATTAGGTTTTACGGCGCCTATATTTGGAACTTCAGAGAAGCTTTCTTTTAAGTTGCGATCCCCTCAGGATGTTAATGCATGCGGCCCTTAGAGCTCAAGGAGTTTCTATCTTCAACTTTTACTCATCATTCAGAGCCTTTACTACCCTAGTAGCTCAATGAATGACAGCGCATGCCAAAAAAAGCTACTACGATGATAGATCCTCAGCGGGACATTACGACCCTTCTAATGAGTTTGGAGAACTATAAATGACTTTCATAGTGGCGATCTCCGTGGGGATCCAGAGCTCCAAAACAACGAAAACCTAGCTTACATGGCGCTGCGCTGTCACTTATCATGCTAAGGTATTAGGGGTGACTGACTTTTCATACGATGAGCAATTCCGAGGTGCGAGGTGTGAACACCTACGGTTAGGTGTGAAGTCTCGCACCTCGGCGTCTAGTATACTGTAGGAGGTAAGATTTGGGGAGGGGGGGGGGGGGGGTAGAGGGACTTTTCATACGATTGCTTCCAAACTAACCTGACCTTTTGGCAACGATTCAATAAGATTGGACAGATTCCTCTCTGCTGCTCCATACCCATCTAGAATAGCTTACGCAGCACAGCGAAATCAGAAAAAGAGCTTTGAAAGCTGCACGAGAAAAATAATATTTTAGTTGCAGGTTCCGGTCTTCCCTACCCCAACCCCCATTTCAAACGTGACATCTGACATAAACCTCATAGTGGGATATTTTCCAAAATTCCAAACTCATTGCATTTTTTGCCTTTGCTTCCGCTTCGGTATCATAGTAGATTTAAGCTAAAACTGAAAGCAAAATTTTTGCAGAAACTAAGTCTTCACTAACAAATCCTTCTTACAGTATTTTTCACTGCTCTTGGATCTAATCGTTTTTTGCGAGCTTTTTAGCATAACCTGGAAGTGCTACATCCCCATAAGGGCTGAGAAAATAGGACACTTGGACGGACTTTATTATCAGGCTTATCCAATTATTTACGAAAATGATTGCGCTGTGGCCTAGCGGCCTTTACTATGATCCCTTCAAAGCTAAAGTGAGACCAAGTAAAGGAGTTCTTCGATGGCCGGAAGTGCCCAATAGAAGTATTCGCAATACTGCTCAAAAGAAGATTAAAAAATTGTAGATTTATATATATATATATGTCTTACAAATATTTTGTACATTTTCGATAATCAAGATTTCTGTCCACTGTAATCGATAAGTGGTTCTATTACTAGCATCCCGGCATAATGCCGAAAGGTCAAGATGATCAGGGAACCATGAAAAGTCCCTTCCCCCCCCCCCCCCGTTCCCCCTCTTCCAGCCGTAGTGGAAAGTCTTACTCACTGCGAGGGTTGAGAGGTGGGAAGACTAGGTGCGAAGTCTTCGATCGTATGAAAAGTCCCCCTCCCAGGTGTGTAGAATATGAGACATAGAAATCAGAATTTCCAAAATCATAGCATTTCCTGACAAATCTCGGGTCCTTAGGAAGCTGCATTGAGACAAGGCAACAGAAAAACAGACGGGAATTTGGGACTAGCTAGTACCACTCTTCAAAGCCACTTATTTCGGTCAAAACAAATCATTATCTCAAACACATGCAAGAAATGTCAATTTCACTTGTTCTCTTCAGTTAACCACCAAAGAAGTAAACAACGTGTTCTCCTTTGCTATAAAAAGAGCGTCTACACAAGTCACCTTGTTCGATAGCTCACACGGTGAGGACATGCAACTTATTGTCAGAAACACATAAAGGGCCGTAGATCCCTTCCTTAAAAGCTGACATATAAGGTCGCAATCTACTTTGAGCTCATTCTAATTCCGCAGACCATCTAGCAAATTAATGACTACCTCCATCGGCTCCGTTCAATGGCGTCAACGCAGTCGCGACCCTGGCGCGAGGCTGAGCTCGTGCTCTTGGACGTGACGTATACTGCGAGCTAAGTGCGTCATATTCCCTTTTTGGGAAAAAGTGCGCGGGGAGGAAGGGGAGGGGGATGCAGAAAAGTAGCGCGACACAAAAGATCGACAAGCCAAGCCTGCGACATGGAAATCGAAAATAATAGAATAATGGAGATCAACCCAACTCATGGAACATAGACAAATAAAATTACTGGAGTAGGACGCTTTCAAAACAACGTGGATTGGCTTTGTTGGTCCACCTGATATCATAAGATAGTTTTCAAATTCATTCATCGCAAACGGCAGACACCGAAGCGTTAGCTACACTGACTATGCTTGCTGAGCGTCCCACATCAACGATTCGTTGCCGCATCGGTGCGCAATTTTTGTGAAAATATCCGCAAATCTCGCGCTCAGTTCGTGACCTGCGTTGGCGCGATTCGACGTATGTTAGAAGATATCCATAAATTGCTCAGTGGCCTGCGGAATGAGACTGAGCTCGAACTAGGTTTGTGATTCGCTCTGAGCGGCTTGTCAGACTACCGTGTTCATCAACATTTCTGGGAAGATTACTACAGCCCGAGAAGTGCAAATGTTCTACTTCATTTTTTGCCTTTTCCTTGAATAGATTAGACTTGTATAGGTCCTCTAATATTTTCTGACAAGTTCCTTCAACTTACTATATTGCTGCCTTCTGAACAAATGTATGGATGGGGCGAAAATGTTCATGAAACGCTTAAAGTGAGTCTATGTTTCATAAAATCGATCTTCTAACCACCACGCAGCATGACTTCTCGGACTATACAACTTGGGCAATGTTTGCTAGGAATGAGGACACTGGTGCAGAGTCGGTTTCTAAAAGAAACCTTTATGGTAAGTATGAAATTATCCATGTGGATTATAATAAACGAGATACGAAAACGACGTCAAGTAGAATCCCGACCTTCTAGGACGGAGAATACCCTAAAGTCTTATAGATAAGTCCGCTATTTTGACTAGAAAAATCGATGAAAATGCACTCTCGCACCGCCAAGAATTGTTGGGTATCAAAGAGAAAAACCGTAGTTTTAATACTGATGTGTACAGTTTACAACTTAGATACTTTTGAATATTCTTAGAAACAGAGTTCTTCTTCCTTTTCAAGCGACAAAATTTAAACACTTCGCATTCACTCAGAACTTTGTGTTTGGAATTTATCTGACAAGCTGATTACAGTTGTAGCACACAGTCTACGAAGTAAGGTCCCTTTGTTGGCTAATGGTTGAAAGTGTACCCTTTTTTCCCGCGACCGGTGCTGCACATGGTGCAGCACGCTGCTTTGAAAGATTTTTTCGACGTTCACAGGAGGTTTTCTATTAGTCAAAGGTTATCAAGTCAAAGGCCTAAGCTCCTAATTTTCAAATGGCTCTGTAGAGCTGTACCGTCGATATTTGTTTGTGAGATATGAGCACAAATTGAACAACAGTTGCAGCGAAGTGCGGCGACGCGAACGACGCGTGCGACATCGCAGCTTTTCTTTGCTTCGATATCAAAGAGAAATACCTTAGTTTCAATACTGATGTATACCGTCTACAATATAGATACTTTTGGATACTATTAGAAACTGTGTTCTTGTTCCTATCTTTCAGGAAAGCACAAAAGTCCTTCATAAGCGACAAAATTTAAACACTTCGAATTCACTCAGTTTGGGTATGGAACTTAATTGGCAAGCTGATTACAGTTGTAGCACGGAGTCTAGAAATAAGGCCCCTTTGATGGCTAACGGCTGAAAGTGCACTCTTTTTAGCCGCGCGCGCTTTCGCGGTCCGAAACGTGTTGATTGTTCCTTCATAGTATACTTGGGTAATTCGATAATTTTTCATCGAATGAATGAATATCGAATAAATTCAAAAAGAAAAAAATTTCGAATAAACGAATATCGAATAAATTCGAAAATAAATCTCGAATAAACGAATATTGAATAAATTCGGAAAATCAAAAATATCGAATGAATGAATTTCGAATAAATTCGGAAAATCAAAAATATCGAATGAATGGATATCGAATATATTCGAACATTGGAATTCGAATTTCGAATAAATATTCGAATGATTTATCGAATAACTAAAGCAATCACATCTCAAACTTGCCGACATATCTGGCTAAAGCCGATCCAATCATAATCAGCCCCTAGTATCTCCTATACCAACTCCTAGCTCAAAATTTTCCAAAAATTGCTGAAACCAATAAAATAGATTTCGGATCTAATCAGCATCCTCATTTACCCCCCTCCTGTACCAGCTTTCAACCTCGTAGCTCAAGATTTTCTAAATATCGACAAATCGATAAAGTAAATTCTTATCCATAATCAGCACCCTCACTTACCCCCTTGTACCAACTCCCAACCTCGTTCGATAAAATCGATAAAGTAAGAACCGCATCTGTACACTTTGATCCTGCGGCTTTATTCGACAGCAGACCTTATTTGTCAGACTTCCACTAGATTTCAAAGACGTTTAGCAGAGTAAAGATTGGCTGGGGCTAAAATCTAAAAGTGAGAAACATTGCAACTTGGTGTAAGCACTTAACGAGCTGTTCGGATTCATAGCGTTAGGTGTGCGATCTTTTGAAGCAATAAGGTGGCCACATATGTACTCAAATTCCACAAATGCTACGATACATTGCCTGTTCATCGGAGACTTTCGTCTTATGTGGTATAAGCTAGTCGTGAACGAAGGCATGTGGTTTCCTCCGCGAAGCGAGCACGAATGCCCCTATAACCCCGGGCATGCTGTGCAGGCATTTCAGTGGCGACGTGGTGTGGCAATACTCAAATTGTCCAAAACCTATCCTGAAAGTACGGAATGCAGGGCATTTATCTTTCAGTATGTTGTACACGCTAAACATTTGTGGTAAGCTGCCATTACATCTGAAAACATCTCGTAACTGGCAAATCGCGTAATCCTGCACTCTAATCCTGCACTACAACTGCGATGTCCTTTACTCAATATACACCAATTCGCAAAAAACTCCAAGGTAAAGAATAGGCAGTTTTGCAATAATTTATGCGAGCAAGAGTGCTCACGAGTGTGGGCTTTGCGTACCGCAAGCATGAGCAATGCAAAGAAAGAAGAACAGTTTCAATTCAGTATGAACTCAGAGCATGAGCTTGAACTTGATATCTTCTTTGCTGATTTGGTGCCAATAGCAGTGCGAACAACCTCATTGATCGAAAAAACATCAATTAAAATCCACATGTGATTTTTATCTGTCGCAAGCAGTCGGAAGAATGCGACTCTCCATGCAGTTCAAAGTTCGGTTGCAAAAGATGCATTAGCGAGTTTTGCGAAAAAGAAACGCCGACGAAGTGAGCTTGATACTCAGCAGTTGGCTCTGCAACAAAGTCGAATAATCGGAATACGGAGTATATTCGAATACGAATTTGAATAAACATTCGAATGAAACTTTCGAATAAAATCTATTCGAAACCCCGTTTTTTGATTATTCGAATTTTCGAATAATATTCGAAACCTCGTTTTTTGATTATTCGAGTTTTCGAATAATATTCGAAACCTCGTCTTTTGATTATTCGAGTTTTCGAATTTTATTCGAAACCCCGTTTTCTCAATTATTCGAGTTTCGAATATTATTCGAAAATGGAAGAACTGCGAATATCGAATTTCGAATACGAATATATTCGAATGTTTTATTCGAATGATCGAATTTCTATTCGATTCGGACCCAAGTATACTTCATAGCTTGCCAGTCATCCTAAGTATTCCTTAATAACTCTCTCAAATCTCTATCACCGCAAAATCTATGTAAACCACAATTGATCTATTCCGTAATTCATCTAGTAATAACCCTGGCTTTTACTTCACGCTCTCATTATCAAGTCACCAAGTTAGCAATATAAAATAGTTTGGTACCTCGTTTTCGTCCCTGAAGTTTTTTGGAAATGTCTAAAAGTTCCTTCTTCTAAGGATTTCCTTCTCCATTCTTAAATCTCCTCATCTCTTTTCTCGAATTTTGGCAGTTCTAGCTTGCCTCAGTTTTTTGGATATCGAAAGCGCCCCAAAAACTACTACTTCTCAAACTTGTAATAGTGGGGCTGTAATCACTAACTAACGCTTCTTTTCACAGTGCCTTTCTACCGACTATCACTTATGCGAAAATCCCTTAATTTGCAAATAGTCGAGAATGCGTGCTATTTTACGTAATAGCAAGAAAAAAATTCACGACTTTAATGAGGGCAAAGCATTTGTAAACTTCAGTCAAACCAATTTGCGATTTTTCAAGGTGTTATGAGCAAATTACAGACATCTCTTATTGTTAGTTTATGAACGTACCAGTGGCGGTCCCAGGATTTCCGTCCGGGGCGGGGGGGGGGCGGAAAAAATTTTTCAGATGAAGGTTTTGAAAATTTATCATTTACAAAAATAGACAAGTCATTTGCACATTTTTATAACCCATGTAGGTAAGTTTTGAAAATTTCGCGACCCATTCTCGGGGGAGGGAGGCGCCCCCTCCCTTCCCCTCCACCCCCTCGGTCCGCCACTGGAACGTACCCCTATGTTTTCAAATGACACCAAAAAAATGCGGTTCTAGGGTTCATATGACACCAATAGCTCTACCTGGTGATTTTGAGGGTATTCTGATTCTTAATAAGAAATGCATCAAAGGATTTGAGACGCCTGCTACTTTTTGTGAATTATTGCAAAACAGCACCAACTTCAATTGACTCTAATGAATGCAGACTAAATCTGAAGAACCATGTAGCAATAAGCATTTCTCGAATTCACAATTTCTTGGAATGGGTTGATCTAGAGCTAGCTAAGTTGTTGCTTATTTCGATCAAGTGTTTTTTATAGTGGAGTTAGAATCAATCAAAATGCTAACTGATTAAGAGTCTACGTATCCAGCTTGGTGTCGTAATGAACATTACTGAAGTCGAAAGACGAAATTAGTGCAGATCATATCATCGGTTGTCATAGATTGCCAGCTTGAAGGGGATAAAAGAGAAGAGAAGGGAAGGGAATGAAGAGAAGGGGGGGGGGAGAATGCAACGTCTGCTGGTATCAGTTAGCACCAGAAAGCGCAAAAAGGCAAACATCTAGACATAAATACCGAAAATTGTTGATCTTAGATGAGGGCCTTTGCTCCATATAATGAAGTGATGATGGTGAATCGTTTTAATGTGTGAGGCAACTGTATTAACGATGCGTTGGAGAAAAAGAGCAAGGGAATTTGTGTACTATCATATATATAAGTGCCTTAAAAGCCGTGCAAATGAAGATAGGGAAGTTCGTGCCTTCCGTGAACATTCCGAGCTCTCGGGGAAGCTTTCTGATTTGATCCTCGAAAAGTTCTTCGAGGATCGAATCAGAAAGCTTCCCCGAGCGCTCGGAATGTTCGAAGAACTTTTCGAGGATCAAATCAGAAAGCTTCCCCGAGCGCTCGGAATGTTCACGGAAGGCACGAACTTCCCTATCTTCGAGCACTCGGAAATTTTCATAAATCTGATAAGAGCACTGTGCCTTATATATGACATTAGCCAGTGGACATGTGATTCTGTGGCAGAAAAGCATGTTTTTTTTGCAAAGACACGAGTACTAAATTATAAAAGTCTGGGAAGAAGAAGTAAATGCAATTTAGGTGTGCATCCATTTTACATGGTGGTCGAGGAAGACGGTAATGCTCACGGAGTGCTCATATTGAATACTAACGCTCAAGTAGGCTAGAATTCTGCAATCCATGCTGAGCTATATACACTAGCAATAGCATGTTCCATTTTGTTTACAGGAAATCACTACAGCTCCCGGACCTGCCTTGATTTACCGCACAATAGGAGGCAATCTCAACCTTTTCTTTTTTCCCGGGCCCACTCCTGAGAAAGTCATCCAGCAATACCTAGAGATGATTGGTAAACCTTTCCTTCCTGCCTACTGGGCATTCGGATTCCAAGTAAGGCAATTAGACTTTGATTTGAAGTCAACAAGTTTGTATAATTGAGTTTACAGATTAGCCGTTGGGGATACAAAAACATCAGTGTTGTGGAAAAAGTGATTGAGAAAAATATCAAAGCTGGGGTACCATTGGATGTAGTCGTGTACGATATCGATTACATGAATGAACGCAGAGAATTCACGCTTGGAAAAGTACTGTTCTACTTACAATGAGCCAAAGATGATAGTTTTACGCTTAAGGAGTTTGAAGGACTCCCAGCTTACATAAGATCGCAGCGCGCCAATGGATTGCGGAGTGTACTCATTTTCAATCCTGCTATCCCAGTGAATCACGAGTCCTTCGAGAGAGCTCTTAAAGCGGTTGGTCTAAAGGGTTTCAACTTTTGTGTGCAATTCATACACAGGGAGCACGCTTCGTAGAATGGGAGAGAAAAGATCAAGTTATGCGTTCGGCTCAGGTAAGCTATTTAGTACTGAAAATTCTGTGAAAATACGACTGAAGAATTTAGGATCGCTATCCGCTTGTGAAGGATACAAAGATAATGCTCGGTGTAACTTGGGCGAACGAATATGCAGCGTTTCCTGATTTCTTGGACCCAAATAGCAGTACGGCAGATTGGTACATCAACGAATTTACAAGGTTCCATGAAAAAGTTGGTTCAGTTCGAATTACACTTGAAAAATTAGTTTGGCACAAAAGTTCTGCCGTCTCACATGCTACCATGGTCGCGTAAACACCAGAAAGTGACTCTGGCACTGTTCGATAGAGCAAAGCAAGTTATACAAGGCAGCTCAAGGTATTGGGTTGGTGTGAAAGTTCTCGCGTAATTTAAACAAAGATTAATAGCATTCAGATTCGAGCAAGAGGTGTGGCACACAAGCGCCGGATACGACCCCCCCCCCCCATTTGCTGTCTCAATCCCCCCTCCCCTCTCTACCAGCATTATCGTTTGCATCTCGAAGGCATGGCATAAAGGCTCTATCATGCATAATTAGGCTTATATTCTTAATTATCATGTCAAAAAACTCCCATGGGCCAAGTTTTAGCAAATTCTGAGGGTTCCCAATGGTGGAATATTCAAGTGAAGTGGTCATTTTTGAACATATTTAACTATATTCCGAAAGTGAATTAGCTAACCTGTTTTTGTGTTAGTACAAAGCACTATCCCTTATTTATCCAAACCATGAATCCTGCTTCAAATAACCATTAAATTATGGAATTAGAAGCAGCGCAAAATTTCGTTTGTCCCATTTTTCGTTTCCAGTGGCTGCGATTTCACCAGCTTTTACTCAGAGCGAAGTATGTGAATCAAGCCCAAATCACTCCTATGAAAACCATAAGACTAAAGCTATTAACTGTATATACTATGCCCGCTAAAATTCTTTCGAGATAAGTTGAGTGTGGCACAACTCCTAAAGAAGTGGCTGCCACACATTTTTAGGGGTTGTGCCATACCCCCTTAACTTATGTTCAAAGCATTCAAATCTCTGTCTGTTCTATATGGTTGCTACGCTAAACCTTCTGCTCCACATAGCAAACTCACTCAAAATTGTCTTTCCTATGGAAAGATATAGTCGTTTTTCCTTAGCTATGCAAATGGAAAACGCTGCGAAAATATTGGATTACGGTATTATGCTAACAAGGAAGGGAAGGTTGGTCAAAGTGTCCCAATGAGATGTACACACTGTCGTGTGAAACTTGGAATGCTGTTTCCAAATCTACCTTTGCTATCTGCTGCCAGCTTTTGGGCGAGAAATTGTGAAGATTTTTGTGAGTAGAAATTCAAATGCAAGATTAGTATAGAATCAGCCATAACCTTCTCTTAACGTTCAAATAAGGCAACATCAGTTGGTATATTTGGACTAAGAATATTTGTTGCGTCTAGTGACTGGACTACAAGTTTAAAAAGGTTGCGACTAATTTTACACTAATTCTGCATTTAACCTTTTACTCACAAAAACCTTCACAATGCGAAGTCAGATTTGGAATCAGCGGTCCAAGCTCTACAAGACAGTATAAACCTCATTTTAAAAGGCCACTTCGATCAACCTTCCCTCCCTTGTAAGTCTCTGCTACTATGTGAATTGCGAGAAAAAGCGGCAAGAATACATATATTCGATAGCCTAAGGCCCCGGACAGACTTCACGCGATTTGGTCGTCGCGACTGAATCGCGACGAGACAATTGTTACAACATCATTCCATGCCTCAACTTGCATTTCGGTTGTGATACTTCTCCAGCCCAAAATTTTTGAATGTGAAATGAAAATGAATCGAAATGTCGGCGATTGAGTCGCGACGATCAAATCGCGTGAAGTCTGTTCGGTTCTAATCCTCGTACCTTTCACAAATGATTTGGGCCTGATCGATCTTCTCTAGTTTGAGATATTGAGAGCAAAAAATGGGACGAACGAAACTTTGGTTTGCTCTCAGTCCCAGAGTTCGGAGGTCAGGTGAAGTGGCATTGCTAATGAGCGAAAAAGCGTAGTACTTTACTAGGTGCAGAAGGAAGTAGTTTACTCACCTTTGAAACAAAGTCAACATGGTCGAAAATAACCTCCCCACTTGATGTCCCAATAATTATAAACCTCAAAATGCGCTGAAACTTGGCCCACAGGGGTTATTCGACATGCTAATTACGAAATGATGCTTCCTTAGGATCTTTTGTAAAGCTTTCTTTACGTGAACGACGGTAGGTAAAATATTAGTATTAGTATCTTGCACAATGGGCCTAACAAACATTGTTAACTGACGTCATGTCGCTAAATCACTATCACCTCGACAACCACCCCTCCCCCCCTCTTCCTGACTCCTCTACGACCCCCCCCCCCCAGATGTGGCGTGCCACACCCCACGCTTGACCCTAATAACATTTCAAATACTGTATCTTAAATACGGTCCAATATCCCAGAAATAGCGCAAGGCTTCCGCTTCATGACAGAAGTCCGAGCATAACATTCTATTGGCCACCGAGAACGAAGCTTCCAAAAATAGCTATTTAAAACCTGCGATTTTGAGTTTGGTGCTAGATCGCGGAGGACCAAAAATTTTTTACGGCAAAAGTTCACAGACTGGTTTGGGAAATTTCAACTTTGTATGAAATGCAAAAATAAAAAATCCATGAAAAAAGTTATCTTACAAGAAAACTCCCTATATCGCCTCAGTTTTTCTACAGAAACCCGGTTTGAAACCAGAATTCACGTTTAGTGCCTACTTAGAACACTGTGGCGCTTTTTAGAGCATCAAACTGTGTTTCTCTGGAAAATTTGCGGCAATAAGAAGATTTTTCCTGTAGTATGACATTTTCAACAAATATTTTATTTTGCGTTTTCAACGATATTGAAGCGTTCCAAACTGATCTGTGGTTTTGTACCGTGTAAGAAATTTTTATACATTTTTTTAGGTAAGCTAAAACGGCCCTCCGCGGTATACAAGCTCCAAACTCAAAATTGCAAACTCTGAATAGATATTTGGGAACTTTGTTCTCGGTGTCCAGCTCTTGGAATGTTATGCTTGAGCATCTCTTATGAAGCGGAAGCCTTGCACTATATTTAGGATACCATGATTGAGGTTCAGTGTTTGAAAAGTTGTTGACCCATAGTAAAGCTAATTCAGTTCAGGTAAACTAAACTGAGGCTCAAGATTTCTTAAATGAAATGACGATGCCTCCTTCCCATGCTGTAAGAATGCGAAATAAAATTTCAGTTGACCGTCCCCTACCTGACGACGTCTACCTTATAAATCAGTTTACATTCAGTTGGACAACGAATTTACTTGAACAGTGTGTTAAGATGATACGCAGAGAAACTTTTCATAAGTTACTCCTGAGTAACTTACAATACATGTCATTTTAACATGTCGAAGGAATACTGAGTGAGGAGCCACAGTGCAGGCTGACGATACTCAACAAGATCGAACAAGTGGGCCACATCTCCGCCGCTAATACCAATCACTTACCAGGAAAGGCACCTTGGTCGAAGTGGCCATATGGGAAGTGATGCACATGCGTAGACAGCTCTTCGAACGCTGCTTCTAAAAGGAGCTAAGAGCCTTTGTTTTCTCCAAAAACGACCTTCCCTCTATCAAGGCGCGACAAGGCATTTACATTGTGGCGGCGTCATGTAGTGATGAATGACTGCGGTTTACAGGTAATGAACAGGGTTCGCGTCCTGCTGTTGCCCAGCAGATCTGCATTTTTCCAAATTTATGCTTGCCTTTCAAAATGCTACATATGGACGGGTTTATTTGTAGGTTTCTCAATTCCTGTGACTTGCCAAAACGCGCTTATTTTAATTTTAGTAAAATCGGCAAGTAAATAGCTATTGAAATTTTACGCCCTTTTTGAACATTTCTAGGACTGCTTCTTTTCTATAACTAAGAAAGTTCCACATTTGGCCACATTCAAAATTTGATCACTTGTAGCGAGATCACGATAAACTGCCCATATGTTGCATTTTGAAAGGCAAGCAATAAATTTAGACAAATGCAATTGCTGGGCGACCACAGGACGTGAACCCTGTTCACTCACCTGTAAACCGCAGCCATTCATCACGCCACCACAACGTAAATGCCTTGTCACGCCTTGATAGAGAGAAGTTTGTTTCTGGGAAAAAGAAAGGCTCATTACTCCTTTTACGAAAATGCTCCGCAGATAGCGAAAGCAGTTTTGAGATCAGCGTTCGAAGAACTGTCTATGCATATGCATCACTTCCCGTATGGCCACTTCGACCATAATGTCTTCCCTGGTTAGACGTGAATGTTTGGCGGGAGCGTTTTGACTCAATATTTGCATGGACGTGGGATTCTCAATCATATTATCGTGGATGGTTGGCATCATCAATCAATTGCTCGGCTGGGGGCAAGCTGACTTATCGAAGCCTTAACTAAATTTTTTTTCAATTGAGGTCAAATAAGGCAGCTTTACTACGGGCCATTGATATTTGTTTGAATTACGCAAGGGCTTTTACTCCAACCTAATAGATGCAGAACTCGTTAGTTACCTCGAGTTTGAACCCAAAATTCAAAATTTTTTTACATCTCAAAAATGAGGTTTTCACTCAAAAAACTCATACGAGCTTCGTCATCATATAAAAGGCATATAGTAGCATTCTTTTGTGCTGGTTTGATATTTCTCACATACTTGCTAGTAGAACGTTGAAATCCTTGACCGTCTCAAAGTTCCCAAGTAGTGCCCATGACGAAACAACTCTGAATCACTTGATCCAAAGCGTATCAACTTTTGCTTTTCGACTTTCATCTGCATAAATCAGCAAGGATATGTATGTAAGTTATCATGTATCTTCTATACGATGACCGAGTAGGCTTTGCAACTATGTTTCAAGAAAAGTCGTTTATCAGAAAATGCGAGTGTCTTTCAGTTTTAGCTTCAAAATTTGGTAACCACGAGTTGTGCGCTAGTGATGTCCCCAAAAAATGTGCCTGCTTTTGATTGTCAATTACTCTCTTGTGACGAGGTCTTTCAAGAAGCTTTGACTACTGTTTTATAGAGCTAGCTTTGAGTTAGATTTGCAGTATAGAGCGAATCAGCGACCGCTCTTTGTTACTGTAGGATTACGGCAGAAACTTCAAGGATATGGTGTCATTGTGGAAAAAGCTGCTGTTTCAAAACTTTTCGAAAAGAAATGTGAAAACTTGTGTAATAAAGTTTTCGTGGACGCTGAGTTCAATACTCAACTATGTACAAGATTGGAAAGCTTTCTCAACGGTGTAACCGTACTTTTTAGGAATTCTGAAAAAACTACTGCTTACCTCGCATAACCTTTTAATGAAGCATCATAAATAAGTTGCGAACTTTACATTTAGAATGGGCAACTCTAATTAGCCCGATTTAAAAGTTTTCAGGCTATTTCGTTCCCTTTCTGAGGCAAAATAGGGTCTTTTACGGCTCAAAACCCTCTTTGAAATTTCTACCGTAATCCTACTGTAATGAAGAGCGATAAATGATTCGCTCTATACTGTAAATCTAAGTTGAAGCCAGCTCTACGAAACGGCATCTAAAGCTTCTCGAGACTTCATTACAAGAGAGTTATTAACAATCAAACACTAGGCATATTTTTTGGGACACCCTATATGTCAAAGATTAGCCATATCCCTGCGATTATTATAAGTTCACAAGTACTACATGCTGTACTACCTATTTGTAGATTTACAGGTTCCATATGATGGTATTTGGCTAAGTTTAAATGAACCTACCAGTTTTTACACTAATGAGCATGCGTCCTCTTACTTTCACAGTTTTCACGAAGATTCCAAGATTATGCCTATTTTCTGCCCAAAAAATGCGGATGATCAGTACTCAGACTGGGATGTAGTGTTATATTCGACGCACGCTGTATTTCTTGATGAACGCAAATTGAAAGTATGTTCAAAATTTAACATCTTGTTTCCCAATGTGATGGGTCTTTCATTTAGAATTCATGGCTGGCATCAAAAACATTATGTATGGTAGGTATGGCAGGTGGTGGCAAACAGCGTCTTTACAATGTAAAGAATCTATATGGTCTTAGCCAGGCCAAAGTAGCTTTACAAGCTCAATACAAAGCAACAAAGAAGCGGGGATTTGTAGTGTCACGGTAATTTAGTTTACAATTGTGATATACTCATATGCCAGCGGCTGCATTTCATACGCGGACTTGTTCTTCCCATATACTCAAGTGTGTGAGCATACCTTGGTCAGGATTTGGACACGCAAACGCAGTAGCTAGCGATAAGAGCAAAAATAAGTCTATATGAATGTGCGTGAAATATAGCATTGCGATTTCGCATGAGCATTCCAGACAAAATTGGTTAATCATGGAGCGAAGCTTACGCGAGTGTTGAAGGCCCGGAATAGGTGGCTTACGACGCAGGCTGAATATCATATCGTGGGGAGGGGCGAAGCCTCAAGAATGCATGTATCAGATTAGTACGGTGTATATGAGAAAAAACTAATAGTTTCTTGCAGAATTGAAGTCTCGATAGTGAAAAGGTCCAAAAAAACTTTTGATTACGCATGGCATTTGTAAGTAGAATTATATAAAACTAGCTGGCTTACCCGGCTCCGCCCAGCCCTGTCAAAACAATGACGAAGGTCCCATCCCTATCCCAGTACAACCTTTCGCTTTGCCCACTATATGCCAGTTCCCTATTCCCTCTGGGTTAGTAATCAGCATGCTCTCACCCCTTGTGCCAACTTAACTTCTTCGCTCAAACTTTGCAAAAAATCTATAAAATTGATAAAAGTAACGGATTCAAAAACTAATTCGTAAGCATCCTCGATTACACCCCCCCCCCATGCCAACTCCCAACCTTTACAAAAAAATCGATAAAATTGATATCAATCGATAACGAAAAGTAGCTTACGACACCCGCCGCGCTCCGAAGTGTATGTGTGCCAAGTTCGGTTCGGATCGGTTGAAAAATGGATTTTCTTTCGGAACATACCTATACACATACATACAGACATACAGACATACAAACAGACATTCAGCTTTATATATAAGACTAGCTGGCTTACCCGGCTCCCCCGGCGGCCGCCCTGTCAAAACACTATGATAGAGTCTCAGAGCTATGCACAACCTTTCCCTGTGCCCACTTCTACATGCCAATTCCCTACTCCCGCTGTGTTAGTAATTAGCATGCCCGATTACCCTTCTGTGCCAACTCCCAGCCCCGTAGCTCAAACTTTGCAAACAGTCGATAAAATCGATAAATGTGACGGATATTCTTAAAAACTAACATTGTATTCGTAATCAGCATGCTCGATTACCCCCTGTGCCAACTCCCAACCCCGTAGCTCAAAATTGGCAAAAATCTATAAAATCGATATCGATCGATAGGGAAAAGTGGCTTACGACACCCATCCCGCTCCGAAGTGTATGTGTGCCAATTACGGTCAGGATTGGTTTAGAGGAGTTTTCTATGGAACATCGTATACACATACATACAGACATACAGACATACAAACAGACATTCAACTTTATATATAAGATTAACTAAGATTAACTAACAGTGAAATTAATTGCTCATCTTCACGCCCATCACCCCAACAAATTTTGCACCCCTCCCCCTTGCAAAAAATGTCCCATTATTTCGCACGATTTATACACGTAAATACTTTTATCGCGATTTGTCTTTCATCCAAACTTTCCTCCTGCCTCCTCCTTCACAATCACTCCCCCTCATTTATTCCACCTCGTATCTTCTAGAGACGTCACAAGTACTCATCACTGTTCTAGTGATCCTAAGCTCTGCAAAATCACAATTCCCCGCTCAAACGTATCTCCATGCAAGTGCGGAAATTTCAAAAATGTGCACCGAAATGAACAAAAAGCTTGTTCACAATTATGGGAAATACTCTAGCAACAGATTTGTGTCACCTGCGCGACGTGGAAAACTTTTCCCGAGTTAAATGGCTTTGGCACCTAGAAGCCGCTTGAGGTGGCACAGAAAAAACAGCGTCGTACATCTCCCTTTTTTCACATACCTTTTCACTTTACATGACTTTAATCTACATCCAAAACCCTACAAGTAGGTTTTGCACCTTTCCAAACTTCCTCATTCCCGCCTAGTTACAGCCCTCCAAATTTTGAACGCGACGGCAAGCCTGCTCTAAGCGCGCTGTGGTGCGCTGGATACATCATGCCGCCAATTCGGAGAAAACGAATATCATTGTTTTCTGTCTCTTGTTATTGTTAATGTTAGTTTTTTGTTCTTCTTTGTCAATTCATGTGTTAAATTCCATAAGCGTGCCATAGGGAATGTTGTGATTTTGCTGCAAAGTTTACAATGACTTTGTCAGAAGAACTCAAATGCGCGAAATGGTTATCATTGGAGCGCGTTTTCGACCTGAGACTTGAATTTCGCTTAGATTCCGCTTGCGACGAGCTGCAGTAGGAAAAGGGCCCTTCGTGAAGTGTTACTGCATACATATTACTGCATACATATGGTAGTCCCCGTCCAAAGATGAGGAATTCTCTAACATGCTGTTTACGATTGTGATATCATATGCGTTGGAATAGTGATTTTGCTCAGTTAACCTAAAGCATGCTTTAGATCCAACGCGACTTCGGAAATGATGTCAAGGATAATCAAAGTTAGGAAAAAAAGTCTGACAGTGCAAAATTAGCACGAACATATTTGTGAACAGTTTGTCATAAGAGACTCTGCCTTTTGCGAAACCGAAATCTGAGATTATAAATTTCTGTGTTGTATAAAGTGGAAGAGTTTTGCTCATTCCTTCGAAGTCATTCGTGTAAACACTTCCTTGTCTAGTGACGGGTTTATTCACTACATTTTCCTGTCTGCATAGGATTGCTGAATGGATCACCGAACATGCGCTTACTTGGTTTTTCTATTATTCAATTCGAACAACGAACGGACAACAATTGAAACTAAACAGAAATTCGATATGTCCTAGTGTATGAATGGCATGAACAGCTCTTGATCTAGAACACCTCGTAGCATAGCAAGTCAATGTCACACTTGATGAGTACGTTCGACCTAGAAAAAAGAGCAACTCAGCCTAATAGATCATGGCAGTGTGGCGTGAAGAGATGATGACGCAAACGTTTGATATGAAGTGAAAAAAGTTGAAGGTAGATAAAATTAAGAATTAACAAGAAGAGAATGAAAGTAGGAGAAATGTTAACACGTCGAAGTTCTAGGGAACAATATTTTCGTTATGATCAACAATCCCTGGGTCGCATCTTTTACAGTGCTTGTGAAGTGCTGCGGCGTTTGGCCTTATGTATTTGCAATCCTTTTCAATGCACGGAAAGTAAGCTAGATCCGGCTTCAAATCGCCTCCGTTTATTTCATGTCTAAAGGATTGAGCTGAGAGAGCTAGGTAATCTTTGTAACAGAGACACCAACACTGCGGTGCGTCCAGCAGCATTTGTTGTAACCATCAAGGACTGTGGCGAAATGCTGGATTCACTCGTTGATGGGAAACTAGAACGAAAAAGCGCCGAACGAAAGATACTCTAATAACCTTTTGAGATGGATAAACACAGAGTTTTGAAGATGAAGGGAATACAAATACAAACTGGGCGCTGTTCCATATGAGGGCCCCAATATCCAAGGAGTATATTTCGCTTAAACTCAGTCCATGGGGGGTCATCGCCTACTGACCACGAATATCGCACTCTTTTTTGCACAACTTCATCAGTTTCGGTGGTTACGATGGGGACACTGGGGGCTCAGAATTACATTTGGCTAATTCTTGTTTGGGAGGGTTGTCCGACATTATCATGGATACCTACGTTTTCTGCTCATCCACGTCATCCTTGGTAGCTTTATCATATGCAATAAAGTCAGAAACTTGGACAAAACAACAACGACAAAGTTTTGAACAACAATTCCGGAATATCGAGGTTTGATTACAACCGAGTTTCAGCAGTGATAAGCCGAAATTCAATTTCGCGTGCACTCAACTTGCTTTTTTTTCAACGACGTTGTTTGCAAAAAGGATAAACAACTCTAGCATGTGAGAATGGTGGTTAGGTGATGTAAAAGAAAATGAGTCGAGAACACAAACTCCTGATTGAGCCTGTCATCGTACACCATCGTATACACCCAATGACGTTTTCAAAGCACAATGTTTAGACCAGCATAGTCAATACTCCCGATAGACTGAGCAACAGCGCCGAGAACTGGTCATTTCTTGCCAGTTCTCGGCGCTGTTGACGACAAAAAGACAAATTAACATACCAGTAGTCTCTGATGCTCTCGTCCAGCTTGTTTTTTTCCAGGTTTAGTGAACGCCGCTTCCACCGGACTATTTTCCACAAGAATTGCACTCTGGAAAGTGAACAATATGAAACAATTACAGAATCTTATATATAAAGCTGAATGTCTGTCTGTCTGTATGTCTGTCTGTACGTATGTGCGGAATAGAAATTTTTATTTCTGAACCGATTTGGACCAAACTTGGCACACATATACTTCGGGGCAGGGAGCGTGTCATAGGCTACTTTTCGTTATCGATCGATATCGATTTTATCGATTTTTTGCAAAATTTGAGCTACGGGGCTGGGAGTTGGCACAGGGGGGTAATCGAGCATGCCGATTACGAATATAATAATGACAGGGCCGGGCGGAGCCGGGTTTGCCATCTAGTGACAAATAACGAGCAAAACCGAGAACAGAGAACATTCAAAAGGGGAAAGGTCCACGATTCATGCAAGGAAAAGAACACATGTTACAAAACTGGAGCACAACGCTAAGTTCTGAGATAAAAACGCCCTCAAATGATAACGGCCATTTCGCAGCATCAAAGTTCTTCTGACTTTGTTTTCAAAAACTTGCCAAAGCAACGTCACGCCAAACCCCGCGTAACGCCTCGCAATTGAACAACTTACCATCGTCAGCAAATTAAATTTCACTGGATCCTCTCCACGATTCTTTCTCCTCGTTATTCAGTGCACCCAACGAAAAACTCGCTCCAGGTTAGATAACGCTGCGCTTTTGAATGATGAATAACGGTTTATAAGGCACGAACGGCTACAAGCTTTGGACCGTCTACCTATAAAATCCGAGATTCACTCACAACTCTACTTCTACATGTTTTTAATTGTTGAAACAATCAATGAAACAAGGAAAAGGATTTTCCTTTAGATCTACTTTCGTTTCAAACGGACAGTACTCCGGACATTGGCTGGGTGATAATACAGCGTCCTGGGAGGACCTTAGAAGAGCCGTCATTGCGGTTCAAGAATTCAATATGTTTGGCATTCCGTAAGATCAAACACATTCAAATAAAAGTAATCACAGAGGGTTGTTCAGATTTGTTGGGTCGGATATTTGTGGATTCAAAGACGACACGACTGAAGAGCTTTGTCTGAGGTGGCAACAAGTAGGCGCTTTTCATCCACTTATGAGGTAAGCTTTCGCAGTTTGTAGGAAGAGTAACACGTCATTGTGCTTTACAGAAATCATAACAGCTTTGATAGCATTCCGCAAGATCCCGCTCAGTGGGCTTCAGTAACCTTTGCGACAATAAAAGCAAATCGTTTCCGTTATAGCTATCTGCCATATCTCTTCAGGTATCTCGAATGTGGCTATATCTGCAGAATAGTTTCTAAAATTATGAATATTTAGCCTACATTTCAAGGCATCATTGTATGGAGGAACCGTTGTCCGACCTTTGTTTTTTGAATACCCAAATGATGCGGGTGCCCACAATGCAGAATACCAGTTCCTTTGGGGTAGATCATTGCTTATCGCTCCTGTTGTTTATGAAGTAAGATCGCAAACTTTGCGTTGGCATTTGCTTAAGTGTCAATATTTCGAAGGAAGAAAATAGTGTTGAGGCATACGTGCCTGAGGATGACTGGTACTCCTTGTACGACTATAAATACGGGCGCAGGATTGACAGTGGTGATCAAGACTTGCCAGCTCCTTGGACTTTTCTCATTCCAGTTCTTGTGAGAGGTAAGTAATCTTAGGATTGATTCTATAGTGATATCTGCATTCAAAAGGAGGTTCAATAATACCACGTCAGCGTCCTGAAAACACAACAGACCGTACACGGAAAAATCCATTCGAACTTCTGATTGCTGCTCGAGGTGCCGACCGACACGATTTCTAAACTTCATCTTCCTCTCGACTTCCTTTTTTTCAGAAACAAATGGTTTGGCTAACGGATTTCTTTATTGGGATGACGGTGAAAGTATTGTTGAATCATTCAAGACTCATCCATATTGTTCGTGGTTGTTTCTGTTTTCCACGAATGGCACTGGAGCAACACTTGTCATTGATTTGCAACATAAAACCGCAAGTTTTATTACTTGAGATCGCATCAAATCTTTCAACTGACAAGAATTAGCTCAGTACGCAGACTTGGAGCTTTATTCACTTAGCTCCAAATCAAATCAGATTTGCAGGAATTGCAAGTACTTCCCAAACTCGATCTGTTAGAAATATTCAATTACAAGGATCCACCTGATTTTTCAACGATATACCTAAACAATGTAAAGGTTTGTGCTTGAAAACTTATGGTCATTGTCGTTGAAAAGCATCAATGTTTTATGTAAGCCAGGGATTACCACTGTATCAAAACTTGAGAAACTGCTTTGCCCCTTTAGAATCGGTGCGCTTTTTTGACTGCCTGATTGGCTAGCGATGATTCTAGACGACATGTTGAAGAAATTTATATTAGCTCCACAGCTTCATCTGCAAACTTATTATCTAAATTTGAGCATGAAGTTGCCGCGATGCACTTGAGGATGATTTTACATGTTCATCTTCCAAACACGCGATCAGCGACCTTGGACATCGCGCGCAGCTACTGCGCTATGAATATTATTTTTGCATGGGCAAAGGAAGGGCACACAAGGCTGTGGGAGTGGGCTGGCAAATCATCAGTTAGAGATAACAGCAAGGAGAGACTTTCGCTTGGGTCTCGACTGTAAACTATGAACGACTATCAGCTCTATCGTAAACGCCATGACCGAGAACTGAGATGAGTGAGCGCAACAAACATCTCTTACCCAGCACTGCGGATAGCCCAGTGCAGTTTGTTGAGGGAAGGGGGGGGGTGCACATCCCATGAAGGACAGTTTTTCGCGAAGTAATAGGCAAGATCACATGTTTGATAGAATGGTACTGCAAATAGAGGAACTTTTGAAGGAGTTTAGTGTGCAAGCCATAAAACACAAAAATTATGTTAAAAAATACAAAATTGTTATTAAAGGCAGGGTCCAGGCAAAAACTCGACTTTAAGATTTTGTATTTAGACGGGCCTATTCGCCATGCTGAACCCGAAAATCCACACTGGAAAGCACGCAAAACGGCAGAAAGGGCTCTAGCGCAGGAGGGAAACAGCAAATGGGCGGAGCCTCCTCACTGTGAACAGGGCCTGGCACGAGGTTGGCAAAAGGTTTTTGGAAACGAATTCCCCTTTGACCCCAAAATTTTTTTTACGAATTTCACTTTGGCTCAAAAATTGGTCCCAGTGATTGCGCAGTGAACACTTTACCCATAGAACAAGTTTTATTGAAAAAACGTTCATTCACGACAATAGCAAAAAAACAAATGAGATCATACTGGAGATCGCTGCAATGAAGTCAATAAAAAAATTAGCACCGGCAGCTGGAAGGGGAGGAGGTTTGAAACCAAAATGTCAATATATACTAATCTTTAGTTGTAGAGTAGAATCATGTAAAAATTTTAAAAATCATGTAAATTGAAAGTTTTGAAAACCTCAGGTTGTCATTAGGTTGTCAAATGACAACCTAATTTGGAAAAAAGTTGGGCACACTCTTCATTCACATAAGCTTTTCATAATTTTTCATACTTTGTTACCAGGGTTGAGCGTGAGGTCAGGCGCGCCCTCCCTGAGAGGTCGTATTGGTGGTAAGACTGAGGGGGGAGGGGTAATCAAGAATCGAATTCGCTCAAAACTATGGAATTGCTGATCGAGTAAGGTGAAGAAGAAAAGCTTTAGACCGATGCATATCACAACTCCACTGAAATGAAGGAATGACTGTCATGACCAGCATATTGATTGACTCCATCGAAGTTTCAGCCAAATTTCAATTCTCCATCCCTTACCTGACATTACTAAGGTCACCAAAAGCTTGCTGTGTAAATTGAGTGAAGTTCCCGTAATCAACATATCAAGTCACTTCTACTAGCACTAGAAACCATCACCTATTACATTTCCTAGCGTTTTCTATCGTCTAAAAAGCCTAAATTCAAACATGATTAACTTGGTTTCAAAAGTGAAAGAAGCTAGCTTCTTTTACTCATAACAAACTAATCAGTCTATTAGTCTATACTAAAAATTAAAATCCATATTGCTTTCAAATAGTGAATTAGGAAGTACTACCAATATTCCAAACATCGCGTTTTTCACCTTGAGCGCGTCAACTCCGCGGATTACCACAAAACCAAAACAAGTCGAGCTAAGCTCAAACACCTAATGTAGAATGTTCGAGGTTTGTGCTGGCGAATTACATAAAACATGGGTGAAAAAGCGTCTTCGGAGATAAAGTTAATGGGGTCGGGCGCAACCCCTCAAAAGCTCAGGCCGCCTGAGCTTTTGTAGCCTAACCCCTTGCCTTCGAAATTCAGAAATCGGTCCATTCCTGGCATGAATTTCGAGCTCATAGCGTCTTCTTGCCTCAGCGAAAATTTGGGGCAAAACACTCACCACTGGGGAAATTCTGGCTCGTTCAATAGGGAGATTCACATCAAAATCCGCCGTCAAATTGCGTGTACTTGTAATGTGCAATCACAGAAAAGCGATCATACAGTCTCCTAAAATTCAAAAACTCTGCAGGACAGACTCGTCTTCTCCAGAGTGTCACACTCTGAGGTTCCGGAGGTGGAGAGGCTTAAGAGGAGGGTCGTTTGGGGGCTTTCCTGGAAGGGGGGGGGGGAGGTCGTTTCCAAATGACTTGTGCCTGACCTTTTGCTCAACTGTGTTTGTTACTTAGTCCTACTCGCATATATACACCAAATCCCGCACAATCTCGTTATTTCTGCGTTGCAAACGAGCCATTTTTCCATTTTTTGGTAGCGCGAAATTTTCAGAAATAAAATTTGCCACAACCTTCAACCACATAATTTTTTAATGAAACTCCTAAGTTAACTCCTCAGGCTTGTGTCCACGCACCTACCAAGTTTCATGCCATACCGTCATCTGCGCGTTGCAAACAAGCCATTTGAACTCACATCTTCATTTACCAATTCTGCAAAATTTTCGCGAAAAATGCTTATTATTCGTTCCGTTAACATAAGCTTTTCATAATTTTTCATACCTTGTTTCCACTAGCCTCTCTCCGTTCGCTTACAAAATTTGGTGCCATATCGTTACGCATACAGTGAGAACTAATCATGTATGCTGTTACAAATAGTATCGTCTGAGTGACGTCGCGCGTGCGGCAGTTAGCGACGGCGCGGTTTGACGCGCGCGAACCAGTGTTCGCCTGTTGAGACAGTTGAGATATGCGAAGAGCACAAACTATCAATTTTTTTGGAGCTCCGCCCCAGACTCCGCAAAAACGATCTCCCCTTTGCTTTTTTGTCGAAAACGTATTCCAGCTTGTCATTTGACAACCTCGTGCCGGGCCCTGATTGTGAATTCACTCTCCCAGCTTCCGGAGCGGTCTTCTCGATTCCGCTAGCCGTCCTGACAACGCTACCGGCCAAGTGCGAATGTTTGACTTGAAACCGGAAGCGAAGAGATCGCTCTGGAAGTTGGGAGCGTGAACAGTGAGAAAGACCCCTCCCACCTACTGATTTCCCTCCTGTGTTAGAGCCGTTTTTCGCCGGTTTCGCGCCTCTCACCTTCTCCACGATTATACAGATATTACAAACTTTTTTTTGCAACTTTTGGAACGATAAAATCTCAAAGACGTTCACATGCTTGTAAAAGAAGACGTTCATCACGCGCCACCGCTAACTCCACAACAGGATGCTGAGCATTGCACTACACAAAAATCACATAGTTCTGACAGACAACGTTTTCAACAATACAAAGTGCTGTTAAGGAAGCTGATTAGCCCCACAGTGGTCACAAGTCAGTCTTTTCTCTACTTTTGGAAAAGAAGACCATAAAACACCGGCAAAACCAAAATGTAAAAGTCCTCACCTTGAATGGTGTTGATAGTAAATGCGGTAACACTTGTACAGAGTGTTGGAAAATTGATAAAGCTATCATCAATCTTCTTTATCCGTTGACCTAATCTACCCACAGGCACATCATCTTGTGCCCTTTCAGAAACCGCAAACATCAAACCTACGGGACAAAACCTCTGAAAGAAAGAGCTTGACGCTTCTTTGCTAAAAACAAAGTCAAACCCTCAAGCAAATTCGTCCTCCTCGTAGTCAGCGAGTGTCCCATGATTGCCACCTGAAAATAAGGAGATCACCGACCAAAAGGCTTAATCGAATATGGATGTAGCGCCCTCATATTCCACATTCTGATACCATCTGGCAGTAACGACAACTGTGCGAAACAGAAATTGCCGTTCACAAATGTGAAGGGCACCTAATGAGTGTTCAAATGGTTGTATCGCACGCAAAAACGTTACGCTCTTACGACGAAACAGCTGAAATGAAACAAGGAACCGAAATAGTTGAAATGAAACAAGGAACAAGGAACAACTCCGATGAAATAAGGAGGTGGGACTAGATAACTTAGAAAAAACACTCAAAATTGCTTTGATGAATGAAGCTAAAACGCACAGCCAAAACTCCTTCGTTTTCCAATCAAAAAAGCGTACCTCTGTCAGCCTCAGCCGAAGACATCAAAATCCCTTCAAGCAGACAACTAAGCGACGTCAAAAAAGCTTGCAAGCCGCGTTCCAATAAGCGCCAGAAGGGACCGTCAAAATTAAGATGTTCGAATATCACAGGAATAAGAATTGAAACTTTCTACATGAGCCAAGACAAAAAAATTTATATATTCGCTGAACAAAATCACTTTGGTACTTCAGGCCGATATCAGACTTCCGATTTTTATTCGTTCATCCTTCCGCTGTTCGTCTCGGTGAAGTAATGAATGGGGTGAGCCGGATGAGTCTGTTGAAACTCAGAGACGTACAAACCAAAGGGGCACTTACTTGATATGGACAAAGTACGGTGCTTGTCAAGAGGTTAAAGAGTGCAACCGCACACAATGAGATGCAGAGTGCTAAAAACACTTCACAGATGATATGTGCTATCCCATGTAAGATTACCACTAGAATCACCTAATATTTTACGTTCTTGGAGAGGAGATGAGTCGATGTTGATGTTGATGGTTGCGAAGAACGACGGAGGCTAAGTGGAAGACGTGGAAGAACTGGCAAAGATACTGTATGAAAGTTGAGTAAGAAAGACATAACGGAATACAAAGGATGAGGATGAAAAAGGCATAACCAACGAGTGCTGTAGGAAAGAACCATAGCCAAAACAAATAAATATCAGCAAGAAAAAGACCGCTAACTAGCGTTTGAGCAAGTGGTCCTCGGCAGATTCGCTGCGCGCCAGCTCCCGGGGGTTCCCCAATCTAACGCAGTTCTGGACAGATTTGCGAGTTCTCCGGTGGGGTCCCATTCGGCTTCTTGTGACCTCACCACGAGTGTACCGCTCCCTTGCCCCTCCCCTCAGTGGTCAAGAGCGCCCTCCGGAAGCGCCCTCCAGATTTCGACCGCACTCCGGAGGTACGCCGTCGACTGTCTGAGTGAGCGCCATACGGGCATATAGCTTATTCAGCAAGTGATTAAAGTTGATTTTGTTTTGGTTTTTGGGTTCGTTGAAAATTTATATTTTTTCCTACTTTGTCCTATGCTGGGTAGAGGCATACAGATTTGCCCAATATGTATCTGTTTGATAGCCGCTTCTCTCAGGTGGAGGTTTTGCAGTTTAGAGCTAACCCTTCATTTCAAGATCAATGGATGGTATTGGAACATTTTGAGGGAATTCAAGACAAAAATTTTGACTATTCAGCCATATGCGTGGGCATGCGTTTATTCTTCCACAAATATTACTTGCAGTTCTTACGTCTCAATATAAAGATCGTTTTGGGGTCTTGAAACATTTTCTTATAGAGTACTAGTTGACTTACCCGGCTCCGCCCGGCCCTGTCATTATTATATTCGTAACCAGCATGCTCGATTACCCCCCCCCCTGTGCCAACTCCCAGCCCCGTAGTTCAAAATTTGCAAAAAATTGATAAAATCGATATCGATCGATGACGAAAAGTAGCCTATGACACCCGCCGGGGCCCGAAGTGTATGTGTGCCAAGTTTGGTCCGGATCGGTTCAGAAATGGAATTTTCTGTTCGGAACATACGTACACACAGACAGACAGACAGACATACAGACAAACAGACATTCAGCTTTATATATAAGATGCTTACGGCATTCTGTGACCTGAAGCCCAGCAGTTTCCTGACTGGTATTGTGACACTAATTCGAATATTTAGACGCGAGTAATCTTGGCGCCCTCTGATTTGAAGGTACTAAAAACTCAACAAAAGGGAAACATGCGTGGCAAGTTTTGCTGGCCGTAATTCTGCTAGCTGAACAGTCTGGTTCACGACAGCCATCCATATCTGATGGAGTTGTGATTCAGCGGTCTCGCGTTTCTCTTCTTCACCTTGCTTGATCGTAGCTCATCAAATTTTATTTACCAGTGTTTGATTACGACTCCCACTTTCCTTCTCTCCATAGTCTACTCCCCATACGACCCCCTGGTCGGACACGCCTGACACTCACACCCAACTCTGCTTGAAAAACTAATATAAAAACAATTTCGTAATTAGCGCGTTGGATAACCTCTAAGCAAACAAACTGAATACATGTTCCGAGTTTCCAAAAAACCGTATTTTGGACGTAAGTCTTAATGATGAGTCATCGAACTTTGCAGCTGCAAAAACGCTTTGGATGCCAAACAATGTTTCGGTACCACAGGCACAGCATTTCTTTCCGCTCGGGTGTTTCGTTCCGCAGAGACATTATCTTGAGCATCGCATCTACCGAAATGTAACTTCATGGTAGACAAACTTGAAATCTAGTATATCTTTACCTTTCACTCTAATACATAGATTGTCACAAATTTGACCAAAATGCAAAATCACAAGTTTTGCTGAGCAACCGTTCAAGATAACAATACATAAAATTGAAGAAGTACGAATGCATCATAATCACTTCTGCCTGTGCAACGGCTAATCTTCATAGTTAATAAAACAAAAAAATTGAGTATTAGATCAAGTTAACAGTGTAGTAGCGGCAAAGAATTTATCGCCACTTCAACTTCGAGCAGCTATTTAGGTGAAACTTGTTAATGAGCTGTCCCATTACAACGGAGAAACCAAGATCTTAATTATCAAACTGAAAAGTGGAATAGATTTGACAGCATCGGACCACATGGAGCTTTCCTGGAAAAATAAGGTAAAGCATTTTTGTGCAAATGTCACGTTCCGATAAAAATACAGAGTAAAAATACTGCAAACCCGTACAAGAATTTTGTGCACATTCTTTAAAAAACAAAAATTTCCGGGTAATAAGCTGTTTCCCGTCTTTCCTAACATATTATTAAAATGATGTTGTTGAAAAATGGCAGTTGATTAATGCCACTTTACTTTTAAGGCTGGAAATGAAAATGTTTCTCTAGACGATGGAGATGAAGATGAGTCGACCGAAGAACAAAAAGCGCAGAATGCTGTAGGTTTTTGAAGAAAATTTTAATCTGTGCGAAAACTGCATCTTCTTTTCTTGCTACTTTGTTTGAGCCCAACAAGCCGTACCCTTCCGCTAAAGTTAGGAGCGCGTGTTGATAATTATATGTAGCGAAGAACAGCTTAATAAATGCGGACAGTCAAGTTTCGCAAATTTCGACTGGGTTGCAAAAAATTAGGAGGCCTCAAAATTCTGCAGTGGAAGTAATATACGTATCATCCAGCATACCAAGGATTTCTGTCATGGGAAAGGGGGGTGGGCATCAAGATGCTCCCCAAAGTTCTGCGCGCCCATAACTCCAAAATTTCAAAAAAGGTGCGGGCGGCAGCACGCCTCCAAAATTTTTTTTACTATTCTAACTTGAGTTTCAAAAAGTCTTTTTAATTGATAGGTGATAAAAACAAAAAAATAAAATGGAGAAAAACAACTTACTTGCACATTCCTTTAATATACTTATCCCAAATCGCACCAAGGTTTTGAAATAGAATGCATATCATCAGATGCATGTGGTTAAGCTGAATCCAAATTCAAACATCTGCTGGGATTCACTGAAAAAAGATATGAGCGTTCGAAGGTTCAACTAAAGCGCGCTTTCCACCCTTTCAAGAACTAGTGATCCAAAAGCACTAATTCATGTTCCTAATTAATGTGTACAATCCTTATAGTATCAGCACACTTATACCTTGCCAAGTTTGCACTCCCAAATGATTTCAATGTTTACTTTGAATCCCTACTGAATTAACACCTTTAAAGGCTCAATTCTTCCAGAAAAGACGCGACGCAGCAGATACGGAATTTAGATTTGAATCCAGCTCATCAAAGCGCATTCAATTTCATGCACTTAATTACAGTTCGGCACTGCCTTTGGGATTCCTCACTTGTAAGTCAAAGGTAGTGTTTCGGCAAAATTTCGTTTTCCAGATTTTCTCCTTTTCGGGTCCTTCTCGCCTGAGATACCCATATCTGTGCATTTCAGTTCACGAAAATGGCGAAAATGAGCTTTTTCCGATCCTTTCTGGGTCCGCATATAGTGGAGAAGTAAGCGGGGCCTGGAACGAGGAAGGCGGGGCGAGGTTTTTCCGGCGTATCTTCACTGATTTCAAACTTGAAAAGCTCTGGAAAAAGCTCATTTTCGACATTTTCATGCACTGGGAAGCCCAGATATGTGTTTCTTATGGCGAGAATGCCCCGAAAATTTTAAAAATTGGAAAACGAAATTCTGCTGAGACGCTGCTTTTGAGTCTGTGCTAATCGTATGCCTTTGAAAATATGCGTCTTTTGAAATCGCAAGACATCAGTCGTTTAACGTGGCCACAAAGATGTCACGAATTTCTTCGAAAAATTTCTATCAAGACAACTTTCCAAATGATTAGCGATATCAAGTGGCGAGACACTGAGGGACCGCAGTTTGTTTCTAGGAAGAAATTTGTCTAGATGATACAACTTCGATGGATGTAGAATATTTCGTTTAGTGGAGACTTACTTGTTTCTGTCGGCTTAAAAGGTTTTTTTCAATCTTGAATTGCCGCAACAAGTCATACAATTTGCACTTCTCATTATGAAGAGGGTACCGTTGATAGAGCAAAGCAAACTCTATAAGATGGCTGTGAGCGTCTGCATCAACTTCGATACACCTCGAGTTAAAAGCCGAAACTTAAAAAGTTTCAAATGCCTGGATAATCAAGAAAGATTTATCTCCTCATTCAAAAATAAGCCTAGTGGATCTCCCACTCGCTCCGAATACGCTTCACATAAGACTCCCAAATACGGCGCTGCTGTCTTGCATCTGTGCTAGAAAACAAGAATTTCAAAATTCTAATCTTGTTAAAAAGCGATTCTGTGTTGTTCGGTATAAACTGATGTATTGGTACAGTTGTTGAAGAAGCTCAGAAAACTCAGTAGTTTATTGGCTAAATCCAATATGGTTGAAGAGAGAAGTGAAAAGCATACGGGCGCATGTATGTGTATACTTCTACCGAGTGGGAGGTAGGGGGGTGATCGCCAGCGAATAGCGGTAGCGGCCTCCTTGTATGGTAAGACAGTCAAGAATAAACTATGGCTTATTGACTCTGATTCGTGATCAACATCAACATCTCCTTCATTTCTTCCTTAGTATTTATTTCTGGTTACGTTTCGTTATTTCGTATTTTTCTCTTATTTTTCTTTCCAAAGTACTTGTCAAGTTACGATATAAAAATGTTACCTTAAAGCATGGTACTGCCTCTGTGGTGTGTCTGACAATGAAAGGAAGGTTAATCGAAGCGGCCTTTCATTATGAGACAGAACTTCCTGAAAGGTATGAAACGCAGATTTCAAATCTACCTTCTCTACTGCGGTTTTCTGGGTGAGGTGTTACGAAGATTTTTATGAGCGAAAATTTGCATGTGCAGCTAAGATTATATCAGGCGTAACATTTTTTTCTACAACTCGAATAATTTTCAGGTCGCTCTTTGCAATAAATATTCTTAGTTAAAGCATATCCACTTAACTCTGCCACACTGGAACACTAGGAAAAGTAATGACTGATTTTACACTGTTCATGCATTAAATTTTCTGTCAAGGAAACCCTTCAAAATTTTCAGCTCAAAGGACCGCAGCAGATAAGACAGATATATTTGGAATCAGCGTTTCATACTCTTTAAGTTATTATACATTTTATACAGAAAGGCAATTTTGACCTTATAACCTTCATTCCCTTGTGAGTGTTCGATATCTAGAAACTCTTCCTTGGGTAGGACGTAAAGATTGGCTGATATCCTTTTGTGCTCATATAGGCCCATATGCACTTGCATCCCCGTTGAGGAGAGAAGGGGATCTAAACAGTGGACGATCCCAATTTAAGGTAGCGAATTGGATTGTTTCGCATAACACTAGATGCGCCTTAACGAGCTGATTCCAAATCTACTTTCCATATCTGCGATGCCGTTCTCGGAAAAAGAAAACAACGTTCAAAATGCAAATTTGGCACACATTCAGCGCCACATCCTTAAGAACTAGTAGTTGTTCAAGAACACTTGTCTGTGTCTCCGGTAAATGTGAACATCCCTCAAAGTCAGTACACTCAATATCCTGCTTTGGAAGAGTGGCGTAGTGGTATGAAGAGCCGCTATGACCAGATGGGACACAGGTTCGATCCCCGCCCCTGGGCCAACCAAACCCTCTACCCTCGGGGGCCGGTAAATCGGTATCAAAGTAATCTTGGAGGATAAAAGCGCTAACTTGATAAACGGTTGGCCCCGCAAGTCACTGTAATAGGCTCGCACGCAACAGTAGCCTCTTCGATATGGAGTAGTGTTCGTTCGGCGCACGTCCACAGAGGGTACTGAAGACGCCGAATCCTTTATCCTTCATCCTCTCAATATTTTGCTACTCATCCTTCCAAGTCGGATTTTGAAGCACGTCATGCAGTAAAGCTCTGTGCTTTCACATATTTGAATGTAGTTGAATGTGTGAAGTCACTGAACTTCTAACGCATGACGTGCTTTACAATCCAACTTGGAAGCGCACGACTAGCAAGATATTAAGTGTACTGATCAAGGGTTGCTCACATTTACCAGAGATACAAATAAGTGTTTTTGAACAACTAGTTCTTGAGAATGTAGCGCCGAAGGATATTTGAACGCTTATAACTTATTCCAAAGAACGGCATCGCATATATAAAAGGTAGATTTGGAATCAGCTCTTCACGACGCATCTGATGATATGCGGATCAATCTGATTCGCCACCTTGAGTTGGAATCATTTCCTTGTAAGAGGGGATCTGCCATATTTTGCTACTCTATATATCTTCCTTCTTCCTTCTCCACCTTGCTTATGAAGGTTCTCATACCCTTACACCTGGAATATTGGGTGTCAGGTTACTGCCATAAAAGAATGGTTTTTTGCCACCTTGTGTGATCCCTTGGGCATCCCCTGGGGCAAAACGATTTATCTTCCTGAGAAGTTTATGAAATTGTTGCAAAATCCTGAGGATATACTACGGCACTGCTAAACATGTTCAAATAGAAATAAGTGGAATCTCAGGACGTCAAATTTCGATGAACTGCTCGCGAGCTAGGGATTATCGAAAATCTACAATCTTTAGATTCCATTCCTCTTGTCAAAAACATGCTTACTAGTGCCGTAGTTTACCCTCAGTACAATTTTGCAGCGTTTTCATTGATTTTTCAGGAAGATATATCACTTTGAAATTGATAAATGATCCCCTAGAGATCCCCTGGGGATCACACAAAATGGCAAAAAAACCAATCTTGTATGGAAGTAACCTGGCATCCATTATGCGCAGCTATAAGGGTACGAGAAACTTCTTAAGCAAGATAGAGAAGGAACAAGAAAGATATCTAGAGTAGCGAGATATGAAGCATCTCCTCTCAGATCCCCTCCCTTCCCCAGCGCCGGTATACGTGCATACGGGCCCTAGTCTCAATCTTGAGGGCCTTGCGCTCTCTCCTATATACTTTCTTCGCATCCTGACATTCAATCACATAAACTTTTCCTTGTAAAATACAGATCTGCTGGTCTTCACAGTATAAGCATCCTTTACATTTTCTTTCATATATCCATGTGTTTGTAAGGATGTCTTTAAAAGTAGGAGGCAGTGAAAAAACCAGTTTTATTGGGAGCCCCGAGCTCTTGACTATTTGATTTAACTTTCAAGCGGCATTTTATACAACATGAGGCATGTTAGTGCGAGCCCGTATGGAGCTTTACGA